TACTTTGTAACTTTTAGTTGTTCCAAAAAAGTCCTCATTCTTTTGAGGCATTTGAACCAATTTCACAATTGCTTGATTGTTCTTGTTTGATTGTTTAGTCAAAATTTTTGTTTAATTCTTGTCGATTGGGAGTTAACATAATTTTTACTAATAATTTTTGGCACGCCCAGTGGGACCACATCCTAATTTGGAACAATGGAAAAGATGAGGCATCAAAGCCAAATGAGTGGCCCTTCTGTACTACCTAATAGAAGTTTGGTTTCACAATTAAAGGAAGCTCTTGTATCTCTTTTAATTGAGGAAAAAGAGGTGCTGGTTGGTGAGTTAAGAAGTGTTATTGATGATTTTTCTAGAGGTCAGTGTCAAATAAGGGTGGAAGTATACAAGACACCTTCAAATGTTGGTGTCGTTACTCCATCAATTGTCATGGTTGCAAAAACAGAAGGCCATGAGAATCAAAATTCCATGGCGGGGGGGCAATTTCACAAAGAAATACTTTTTGGATTTTTAAAAAATATTTCCAACCCATTTATGTGTGAAAGGAAAAATCAGCCCTTTTTATGCAAATCTTAGTTCCCAGAATGATGCAAACAATATGGTTAAAAAGTTTGATTTTAAGCCAACTATGGCTAAAAATGATGAACAATCAATTCATGATGATTTTAATATTTTTGACATTGTTCAAAATGTTAAATTTTTCAGAAATTTTGAGCCATGCAAAACTATGGATTATGGCATTCAATACCCATTTTGGATTTGTGGATCACACCAAGACTTAATTTTGGTGAATTGGCTAAAGGTCCAAGGTTATTTGAATAATATTGGTGAAAAATAGTTTATTCATACCTCACAACATATATTTTATATATGTCTGTTTGATGAAAAAGTCCGGGCCAAATAATTTTATATACAACTCTTCAAGAATTTGAGATTTCTCATTCTTAAAGAGTTGGAGGTATTGTTTGCACCATAATTATTTCCCTGTCGATTATGGCTTATTGATTGTGGCCAAATCTAATTTTATTAATTATGATTTATTGATTGTGGCCAAATATAATTTTATTGACTATGACCTATCAATTGTGACAGGTCAATCATGACCAAATCTAATCTCATTAATTATGATTTATTAATTTTGGTTTGTTAATTTAGACCGTGAATCATCTTTTTACAAATAAATTTATGGCCATATTATTATTATTATTATTATTGGGAAGTGGTCAAGGAAGCTCAACGTGGCTGATGAAAGTAACCACCCATTATGATTGTGGCAACGTGGCTTTAAAGAAACAAACTGGCTAGAGCAGTTTTGAAGGAAGCTATTGGTGAAGCTTATAAATAGGCAAAGCAGAGAGGGCCGAAGGGATCAAAACACAAGAACTAAAAAGCTAGTTCTAAACTTAGCATAATTTAAGAATGGTTTCCCTTTCAAAATATGAGTAGTTCATTATTGTATTTTGTAAATTTCTGTAAACTTCAGTAGTTTTGCTTTTGGAATTACTTCTTGTTTGCTTCATTTACTTTGTAACTTTCAGTTGTTCCAAAGAAGTCTTCATTCTTTTGAGGCATTTGAACTAATTCCACAATTACTTGATTGTTCTTGTTTGATTGTTTAGTCAAAATTTTTGTTTAATTACTATTGATTGGGAGTTAATATAATTTTTACTAACATATATACATACTTGAAAAGGGTGTACCATATACACCTCTAATTATGCCATGTTCTTCTTTAGTTGTTATTAATTTTCTTATTTAGTTATGACATTATCACGAGATCTTTGATTATGCCTCATGTGGTGTTTGGTTGTGATTTTTTATTTTTATTTTTAAGTATGATTTAAAAATTATAGAGTTATGCCATTTTTTTCTTTAGTTATAAAGGCATATCTGTCTTTCCCAAATTGAAAGTATATAAAAACTAGCATAACAAACTATACATTATATTCTAAATTATGAAACAAAGCTATTCAACTATGTATTCAACCAACCATACATAAATAATCAGGAATTGAATAAATTAGACTCAAATAAAAACATTTAGATGCACAATTGACAAAATGAAAATTTTAAATACCAAAGTGATACAGAATACATATTGCAACATTATTCCCCCAAGCTGTCAAGTCATATGATCTCTGAGGAGATAATTCCTCCCTAAATAAAAGGTTTAGTGATAGTCTAAACCTGATTACTACATTTCTTATGCATAACAATAGCTCTAAAGAATAAAAAAATAGAAAGAAAAGAACAAAATGAAACTTAGTGCAGAAACACTCCAAGAAAGAATGTATATGTGATCATATGTATTTCTCAATTAGAGTTACGAGTTACATAGTTGTGGTTATCATGAAATAAGTTTTAATAACATAAATCCAATACACTGTCATAGCAAACAACAATAAAATTAAATTAAAAAACCATAAGAAACATGTTCGTGGTAGCAAGATGACAAATTTTATTTTTTTGCAATCCAAAAGAAAACAAATATCAACGGGAATTTGCTTAATCATGAGGTGATTAGAAGCTTGGAGTACTTGAATTCTGATTGTCTCTGCAATTGAATTTCCTTCAACTATATGCATTTGCAACAAAAGACCTAATAATTATAAAACGCATACTAAATGTAAGGAGGTGCAATATATCAATGAACAATATAAGTATTAAAAGTATATGTGATTTAGACTTTGCTGTTTCAATAAAGAAATATTTTTTGTATTTGATTCCAACCTTAAAAATGATGGTGTGTTGATTGTAATAGTGGTGGTGTAGGTGATGGGAGAGGGAGTGGAGTAGTGGTGGCGGATATGGTGGCAACCTTAAGAAAAATGGTATGTTAGAGCAACTCTAACTCCTAATTTTTATTTTTGTCCACTACTACAAAAGTAGTTAAAGATCACACTTTGACAAAAAAAAAGATCTCACTTTTATTGGAAGTGTGATAAAAAAAATTATATTGATATTTTAATCACACTTAACTTGATTGAGTGTGATAATATTTATTTTTTATGTCACTTTTCAATTAAGTGTGATTATATATATATATTTTTAATCACATCTTCTAATTAAAGTGTGATTATATATATACTACTACTTTTTAATCACACTTTTTAAATAGGTGTGATTATATAGATATTTTTTAACCACACATTCTAATTAAAGTGTGATTATATAAGCAACTCTAACTCCTAATTTTTATTTTTGTCAAATTTAAATTTAATAAAAAAGCGTTCAAAAATCATGTCCAATCTATTTATCAAATGTACGGTAAGGCTATGGTACAATATGTTATGCATTTTTGTGATAAATGTTAAGTAATTTTTTCGTATAGTTACGACAATTTGTGTTTCAAAAATAATATTACATATTTTGTATTAATGCTAGGCATTTTCGTGATAATGTTACCTTCTTCTTTTCTTTTCTTTTTTTGTTAGAAAATGTTTGGATTAAAAAAAATGTAACATTACCACAAAATGTGTAAGTTAATTTCTGAACTACAAATTGACGTAATTCTACTAAAAAATTACATAATATTTATCATAGAAATACATAATATTTATCACAAAAATACATAACGTGGTGCATAAAATTTCTATCCAAATATCCATCAAATCAAGAGAGAAACATTTTTTTTTCATCAAATTAAAATTTGATAAAAATTTTTTAAAATGGAGTATTGAAGATGATTTTATTTTTTTTTGTCATCAAATTTTGACGAAATGATACATAAACAATGCAATTGAGTTGGGGACAAACCTGGAATTTAATTGAGTTGAATTGACCCAAAAAAAAAAACACAACTCAAATAACATGATTTGAAAACCTGTAATTTAAAAAGAGTTTTGATTTTTATTTATTTCTTTTTTTTTTTTATCCAAATCGTGATTTGAAAACTTAACCAAACGCTAGTTTTATCTTTCAAAATGCAACTCAAAACTCAACTAATTTCAAAAACTAAATCAAACAGAGCCATATTTTTTTTTAAGTTTGTTTAGCATGAAAGTAATAGAAGTATTAAGGAAACTATAAGAAAACTTAAATTTGTTATGAAAGTAATCATTTATAATAAAAATTCATATTTTCTTGTAAAATTTTCCTCCTAATCAAATTTGTACAAAAATTTTATTTTATTTTCCTTTTCTTTTCTTTCACTTAGTTTTACTTTCTATCATTTACTTCTTTCTAATCAAACGGAGCCCATGATAATTTATTTTAATACGTGACATTTTTAATTCCTAAAATATGCCTTGTTTGTTATTTTAAGCCCTTAAATTTTAATTTTATCATTTTAGTTATCAAAATTATCAATATAAAAAGTAAAATGATAAAATTAAAACATAAAAAATTAAAATGACAAATAACACATCGTAAAAACTCTCCTATCCTAAAATCTACTCTTTTTAACTCTGAAATAAACAAACACAACAATTCAGTGAAGGGCAAACCTGAAACTTAATTGAACTGGCATTCAACTTTGAGATTCATTTTTATCTTCCCTAACCCTTGCGTTTTCCACCTTCTGATTGAAATAATCATGAAGATTGTCGATTTTAGTAATAATATGTTTTCCTTTTCCGGACCAGAGCTTGACATGAGGGATATGCTCGACGATCCAGTAGTCTTTCCTTGGTTGGGTTTGGGTTCATTCTATCTATCAATTCTTTTGGCATACTCTCAAAATCAAGAGTTTTGAGGTTTCTGAGGTGGTGGATGCAAGATGGTATCTTCTTTAGTTGCGGGTTAGACGCAATCCCTAGATCTTCCAAAAGAGGCAATGTTCCTTCCTCTATTATCACCGAATTCAATCACTTCAACTCTTGAAGAATTAGTCGCTTAAGTTTTTGAAACCTTCCGACCTCAAAATACAACTGCTCCCTATCATATGCATCCCGAGGCCCAAGATATACTAAACTAGGCAAGACTTGAAGGGCTTTTAGTGGATCGTTCTTGATCAAACCTGAACCCCATAGCTGTAATTTGACTAGATTTTGAAGTTTCGGGATCTAGTCAGGCAACTTCTCTAAACATCCAACCAAATCGAGACGTTGAAGATATTGAGGTGGAGATGATGATATATACTGTAAATCCAGAATCTCATCATCACTTGAGGCCAGTACACTCAAAGTTTTAAGGTATTTCATTTTCTCAATGGCTGCACATAGAGCCCTCCCAAGTTCTCTGTCCAATTTCGTAATTCCCAACTTCTTTAGCTGCCTCAATTTCTCAAGCTCTTTAATTGGGCCATGATTTGTCTCCACATACCACAAATTTTGCAGCTCCTCTAAAGCCCCAATCCCTCTTTGTATCTTCACTCCTACTATTAAATCCACCCAGTATTCAGATTCAAAGTTACAAGAATAGACAAGAAGATGTCGCAACTTATGGAGCCTACTGATATCAAATGGGAGCTCTCTTACGGGAGAATGTTTCAGATCCAAAGTCTATGAGTTGTGTAACTTATCTATGGACTTTGGAATTATCTTCACTTCTGTATTCGTTATGCTTAGGTATCTCAAAAGAAATAGATTTCCCACTTCTTCATAAGGTTAATCCAAAGGAGCATCCTCAAGATCCAGCACTTTCAAAAGCTTGAAATTTGCAGCTACTGTACCCAATAAGGGCTTCTTTGGCAGCTCTCCGCCTTGAAAAAGAAAAACAGAACGAATTGGGGACTTACTAATGCTTTCCATAACCTTATCCATGTTGCAATAACGCATATGCATAGATAGCCGCCGAGTTGTGTTATTGAAACTTGGATTCTCTTTTTCCAAAATTTGACACAAACTAAACTCCTCGGACATTGAGAGAATAATCTCACGCACTACATCATGTACTCGGCACTTTTTAACTCTTTCGTCAAATTTTGTTATTGACACTTGAACTAAGCGTCTATGGATCAGCTCAGTCAAGTATTCTTCTGCAACTTCTTCCAATGTTTTTCCGTTCTGCTTTTCAATGAAACCCTCAGTTATCCATAGCCGAATTAGTCTTCCACAACATATAGAGTAATCCTCTGGCATTATGCCAAAATACAAGAAGCAAGATTTGAGGTAGTGAGGCAGATCATTATAACTGAACAACAAAAAATTTTTGATGCTTGTATGATTAGGATTCCTTTCCAATTCAGAGTGCATGCTACCATAGAATTTTTGCCACTCAAATATACCCTTTTTTTTTTGTGTGGACAAGAGACCACCTATAGCTGCAATTGCAAGTGGCAAACCTTGAGACTTTCTAACAATTGCATGTGATACTTCCTCCAATTCAGGGGGACAATGACCCTCAGAGTCCAAATGGAAGGCTTTCTTGCAAAAGAGTTCCCAAGCCTTCTCTTCGGATAGGGCTTCAAGCTGGTGGACATGATCCATTGACATTTCTTTGCAAAATGTAGCAACCTGTTCACTACGTGTGGTGATGATTACCCGACTACCGTCACTATTTTTGGGTAAAGCATGTCTTATGGATCCCCAAAAAATCAGTTTCCCATACATCATCAAACACAATGACATACCTCTTTTTAGATAAATATCCTCTTAACTTGACAATGAGTGACTCAATTCCCTCATCAGGTAGAACATAAATTCCTGATAGCTGCTCTATCATTTTTTTGAGGAGCTCCTCTGGCTTGTATGATTGAGAGACAGTGATCCACGCTTTGCTATTAAAGTGTGCAACCACTTCTTGGCTATCATAAACTCTCTTGGCAACAGTGGTCTTGCCAATTCCACCCATGCCAACCACCGAGATCATTGCTCGTTGTGAATGATTTTGGTCAACCAACCTGCTTATCAGTTCATATTTGGGAGATTCAATGCCAACGACTTCGTCATCCCCTATGAAAAGGGAAGCCAGTCGAGGGTCACGCCACATGTTGTCCTTGGTGATGCTGCTAGTGCTAGTGATGCTATGTTCTAAGGAACTACTAGTACTGAATCCATATCGAACAGCTCCTTCTTGGATCTCACGGATCGTAGTCTTGATGTCTTGGATTTGAGAAGCTATCTCATGTCGTGGCTTTAGCTTAGTGATCGTTCGAGTAACCTTACACAAGGAACCAACTAGTCCAGGTTGTTTTGGCAAGACCAAGAGAATGTGTTCATCGATAACGTCTTCTATTCGATAAGAAACTTCCCTTACTTGTTTCACCCATGTTTTCACGCCTTTATCTCCGTTTTCTGCTCTTGATTCTGCATCTATCTTTTAAGAATGAGTGTATGCGCTCCAATTCAGCTTTGATACTGACAATTTCCTTGCGGACACCCTTTAACAACTTTACTTCATCGGCTAAAAATGGTGCCAAATATTGAATAACAGAGCTCACCGCTCTTTCTGCCATTATTTATATCCCTGCACTAAACACACCATCACAATTAGTTCCAATTATGCTTAGTGTGTGATTGTGTCCACATAAATAGGAAATTAGATGGAGTTTGGGTCCTCTAAAGTAGATGGTAAAGTCATTTATAAAGTTAAAAAAAAATTTGATTGGTCCACATTTTTATTATCATTGATGCCTTGTTTTTATTTATATTTTTTTTCCAATTTTTCACCAATTTTTTTTTAATAATTTGTTTAAAAAAAATCAGAAAATTAATTATGCAAATCAAATCAAACCAAACCAACCAGGCAACATTCCCAGGGTCTAATATAATCATATTTAAGGTAACAAGTCAGGCCATGTGACCTTGTAATTAGATGGTACAATCAAGCTGAAAAATTAATAATAATTACTATAAATTCCATTAATTTGGACTGAGTTTGAAAAATTACAAGCACTATAAATTTGACATAACTATACCAATTCTTTTTAATAAAGCTAAGCTAAAGCAAAAGAAATTAATACAAATGGCGTAGACATAACTATGATCAATGATAACATATATATATTAGTGGTTGGCATACGCATTGCGTGTGTAATTCAAGTAAAAATAAAACCAAATTTTTACTATATAATGTGTGCCACTTATATAGTAAGTGTTTTCTTTATTTGATCGATGGTTAAGGTTCGAGTCTTGATCTTTCCATTTATCTAATTTTTTTGTTTTAAATTAAAAAGTGAACACTTGGCAATATAAGAAGTTGAGGACACCGGGGTGTTCATTTAATATATATTATAGATATATATTTATTTATTTCGTTGTAAAAGATATACAAACACAACATCATCATTCATAGATTTGAGTAGAGATTTGTGGATGAGTGTAGACACCCCATTTTTTACCGTCCTCAAGACTTGGACGTTATCGTTTGAACACTCGATGATCATCCATGCTCGTGTTCGTTTTGAGTTCCCGAAGGTTTCGACTGCGCGCCTTGCCTTAGGATCTCTCAACTTGTTTGTTTTGTGCTTGGTTGTGGACCAAGGACTTATGGTTTGCTTCTGAGGGAAGAGGGTGGCTTGTTGGCCATCCCTACAACCCATCGGCTAAGGCCTTGTGCCATTGCCCTTGTTTTCTTGCCATTAGCCATAAGTGGTGGCCGATCGGCACTCTTTTTGGTCGATCAGCACTCTTTTTGGTCGATCGGCCATATTTCTTGGCTGAGATCTTTCCACCTGCTTTTGCAGATGTTTTTGTGCCAGCTGTTATAGTTGGTAAGCATAGAGCCCATCCTCCATACACGTTGAATCAAGACTCAAGCTTGTTCAACAAGCTTGAGAATTGAATTTCTATAAGAAGGGAGACCCCTCTCCCTTTCTAGAGGGTCTGAAAAGGTGATATACAAAACATATATCACTCTCTCTCTATATTTTACCTCTCTCTCCATGTTTACCCTAGTTTGTGCTCAAAAGTGTATTTTCTTCATACTTTTGCACTAAAGCACCTACTAGAACACCATCCTTTTGTTGCTGAGGTACTTAGAAGCTGGTGTTAGTGTTTTTAGACTGGTTTTGGTAAAAAAAGAGTGCTAGAGTTGTGTTCTTGAAGATGTTATTCAAGGGTCAGTCAACTAGCCTTTAAACCCTTGTTTTGGTTTAAGCTTTTGGACCTATTTGCATGTTGATTTAAGCTTAACTTTATACTATAGAAAGTTCTGATTTTTCATGCTTGTAATGTTTGTTTAAGGTCACTTTTGTGTTGGGGGTTGTCTATCCCCTCTTAGGCCTTGTTTGGTCTTGTTCTTGTGCCTTCCTTTTAAGCTATTGGGACCACCTTGTTTTGACCTTGGTGTTTTGAGGTCCCAAATATGAGAGGGTCATCCCCTCTCCTTATGTCTCATATGCTTGTATTAATGGCTCATAAAAGTAGCATGTTTGTTAATCTTGTTTTGGCTCCATCTTAGCATGTATTAGACCTTATTTCAGCATGATATACCTCTGTCTAAGGTTGGTTTGATAGCCTCTTGCATGCACCATGCACTTGTAGTGCAATCCTCTCTATTGCCTTAACATGCATCTTGTGCTTGGATCATCATTCTTGCATGTTTTGGCTCAACTCAAAGAAACTTTCCCTCATGTTTTACCATTCTTGAGCTCTGTCTGATGTTGTTTTAGTCATGCATGCATTGCTTTGTATAGCCATAGTGCATTCTAGCTTGTTAGCTTTAAGTGTCCAAGCCACTAGAATGCATTGCTTAGACCATTTTCATGATTTGGCATCATTTCATATGTGATTTCAGTCCATATAGTGTGGTCACGCACTCACATTTGTCACATTTTCCATGCATTGGGAGGTTTGTGTTTTAAGCCTTGAACATGAGCCATTATGCATGTCTTATTGCTTAAGCTTTTGGGATGCCATCTCAGTGGGTTTTTGGGCTTATTTTGACATGTCATGACTCTTATTTTTATTGGTTAAGTCATGCCATGCTTGGTCTTGGTAGGTGTAGTATAACCCTCTTTATTGGCCTTGCATGCATCATGGCTTACGCCCTTCATGTTGGCTTGTTTTAGCTTTGGCCCATTTATGTTTTAGACTCATTTTGGCATGATCTAGGACTGTTTTGGTTGTCCTTGGCCCTTTGGGGTTTGATTCATGTGGCTTTGGTACAAGTTCCTATGCTAGTTTCAAGCTTTGAGCTTTTCTTGCATGCTATACTTGTCTTGCTTGGTTGATTTGGCATCATTCCATACTTAATTTCAGAGCTTATAGTGTTGTTACACTTTCACTTTTGTCACCCTTTGAGTGCCTCTAAGAGTTGTGTTCTTGTTGCCTAGCTTGTGGACCAATATGTGTGCATGCATGTTTTGCCTTTTAGTGCCTTAGTTTTAGTGTTTTGGCCACTAATTTGGGCATGATTGAGATCTTTCCATTTTAGTTTGAGTCCATTTTGCATGTTGTTGCATGCTTGTCGCATTGCATGTTGTTGCATCGCTTGGTACATTGCATGTTGTTGCATGCTTGGTACATTGCATGTCGTTGCATGCTAGTTGCATTACATAACATTGTTGCATACTTGTTGCATGCCATGTTGTTTACATGTTTAGGTTGCATTGCATTATTTGCATGCCATTAGATTTGTTAAGTTGTGCATGCATTGCATTGTGTTTGGTTTGGGTGTTAAGCCAAGCACGAGGAACGAGGGATATTTCATACTTGAAGTGATGAAACATGCCTCAATTCTCGGTCGCCGACCCTCTTGATCATGCATGATAGAGGTTAAGGCATTTATGTGTTTTTGTGCATTTCATCTATATTGATTTGTGCAACTCGGCCTCTTTGGCCATCATGTATCGAAATGCGTGATTGATGGCTCGAGAGTCGAGCACTACACTCCTTTGAGCTTCAAACATGATAAGGAGTGTGGTTGTACAAACATTTTCTTGCAAATGTATTGCCATGCCTCTGTTTGTACTCTGCTGCAGCAAAAGGAGGAGTTCGCAGAAAGAGATGGCCGATCAGCTATCTAGTGTGCTGATCGGCTACAAATATTTGGCCGATAATCTCAAAATTGGTCGATGACCATTATCCACTGGCCGATGGCCATCCCTCTTGGCCGATGACCTCTCAGAATGTCCATGAGGTAGGTCAGAAGCAACACAGAAGTTGGCATAATTTTCAGAGGTGCAAAACAGTGCAAAACAGTGCAAACAGAGGCAACATGAGGCATGGCAATGGATTTCCGAGCGAAGTCGATCGAGCATGCATATGCCCCTCTTCTCGAGGCCGTTTTAACTGCTTTGTATAGTTAGTTAATTTGTAATTAATTAGTTAATGTGTTAGCTAATTTAATTCATCGTTGTAAATTCTTAATTAGCTTAGCTTAGCTAATATTCAATTTGATTATGTAATAATTAGTCTAATTAGATTATTAGATTAGTTAGAATAGCTTAGCGTAGCTAGCTTGTATTATTCATTCGGACCCTCCGTCGAGAGGGCGAATTTTGTAATAAGTGTGCGTGAGTGTATGAATGTCTTTCAACCCCACGTCTTTC